GGCTCTGGCTCACGAGGTTTCTCGAAATTCATGGAAAGTGTTGGAGTTGCTGGATTTTGCAGCATTTTCCGTGAGCCAATCATTGAAAGTGTTGTTTTTATCCACCAATTTCCATGATAGCAAGTGTTTTTGCTTTTGGGGGAGCCCAAAGAAACTGCTAATGCTCATAATGCTCACCCGCGCCGCTCCCAACGACCACAATGGCTCATGATGCTCGTCCGAAATTTGCGATTGAGCACATCTTATAAACTCATGCGATGTGTGTGTGTGTGTGTGCAAAACGGGCCGGTAAGGTATGCGCATCCTTGAGTAAACTCAATAGTTTGTCCAACACGGAACTAGGCAATAATCTCTGTTTGAAGATGTTACTGTGCGAACACCAGTTTAGTGGCTTTCTCAGCGTACTACGAACAGAGCCATACTGCATGTCTACCGTTCGAGACTTTACTATAGGAAACTATTGCGGCTTTATTTCCTTGCAATAAAGAGCCGTTTCTCCAAAGACTCACCAGAATTCCGTCATACATCATTGTCAAGTGGTCATCATTCGGTAGGTGTGAAATTTCGAAAAAGATTGCGAAAAGTCTACGAACCCTAGCCCGACCAATACAAGCACAGGATTTCTATTGCGCATACAGTTAAGATGAACTAAACTCAGGCCAAACATGTCGAGATGAACTGGACGTGAGAAAAAAAGAAAAGCTAGCAACGTCGATTACTAAAGAGCGGAACATAGAACCTACAGTGCAACCGCGCAGCCACGGCATGTTGTATTATGTCTGACTTGGAGAACTACCTGCAACAGTCCATTCTCAACAGGTTAGAAACTAGCAAATGTGTCACTTGAATTTACCATCATCCTACCAACAGGTGTGAAAGATCAACAGGTGCTGAATGGTAGGTTTTTACTTATCAAAATGTATAAACACAGGACTCAGCAAGTAGTACACTTGCGTTGCAAATAATGCTTTGTTTTCATTAAGCAAAGTTGCTGAAAACTACACGACGCACTCTGTATTAATTATCACAACAGTAGTTGACATAGTGATTCTTAATTCAGAAATGATAAGAAACCGGGATGTACATAATGTTAATCCGGTTAGTATTGATGAAGTACAAGAACTACACTAACAGGATCTTCGGTAATGGTTAAAACATGTGATAACAACATTGCTAGACGTAATACTAAAGCCACACTTGATTTTTCCAGAAGGACAGATTATGCAGTGCAGTAGTTCAGACATGGCCGAGAAAAGAAACGGAGATCGGATTTCTAAGGCAATGAAGACTATACTTTCAGCAAAAATACCTAAACCTACACGTATCATAGCGGGTCACGAATTGCTACCATTGTTGCAATTGACTGCTAATTTGATAGATATGCATGAATTATTGTGCAGTGGTGCGAAGACTAGAGATTTTAACAGGGATGATGACACCATCTCAAGCTACGGCTTCTTCCGTATATGATTGCATTAAGCCATGAACTCACTGATTAATTCGTGTAAGACTGCAAAACCCACCAAAAACAGTGATCGTGTATAAACATTTGGGCGTTCAATGAACGTGTGTGTCTATAAACTGTAACGGCAGCCAACTAAACATAGTCACCCTCCGCCTGGAATCGAAATATGCGTGGGTGGTCACGAGGATGCTAC